AGGAGGAGGAAGTGGAGGAGGATGACGAGGAGGATGACGAGAAGAAAAACAGGACCAGCAGCAGGAGGCGGAGCTGGCAACAGGATCAAGCACATCGGGAGCCCACTTAGCAGAACATAAGGCGTATGATTTGAAAAGGGCTGGTCGAAAGGCTGGACCACACTATGGCAACGGCCCGGGTAGCAGGCCAAGGGGCGCCACCTGCGACATCGTGTTCAGGCTTGCAAGATAGGTGGAGCATGTTTGCCAGGTTTTCCACTGCTTTTCTTGTCAGGTCCATTTCAATCCACCTCCGCCTTCATCTTGGGTCTGGGCCTATGCTTGGCAGACCCAGTCCCGACTCGCGTCTTTCCTGGACTGGTGGCCTCACGCTCGCGTGGTGGCCTCACTCTCGCGCGCTGTCTCCATTCGACTTCGTCGCGATGACGCTGCTGGCTGGTAGACGAGAGTAGGGCACGCAGGGCGGCCTCCTTCGCTTCCTGGGTCGCCCCAGGCTGCTGGCTGCTGCCTGGCGATTCTGCGCCTGCCGCCTCTGTCGACGTGCTGGCTGCGGGGAAGCGCCTCGTTGGAAAGCGCGTGGAGACCCTCCGTTGGTCTTCGGGCTGATGCCATGCAGCTCCTCGTGAGCATCCGCCCTGCTCCGCATGCCACTGTTCCGACTGCGCGACTGCCATGCTCGTGCTGGTTTGGAACACCAGCTTCCAGAAGCCGTCTCTCGCTTCTTGCCGCCGTCACATGCTGGATGGGCGGCGGCGTGCGCCCGCGGTTGGCAGCTCGCCCCACGGATTGCAGACATATAGGATGTTACTGATAAGTCTTGCGGTGGAACAGCACCCACCTTGCGGAAGGCACGTCAGGGTGCCCGACGTCAAGCTCGAATGCGCTGCCCCCCTTCTCGACTAGGGATCCAGGGCGCCGCGGGTGCCAGGCCAAGGTTTTCGCCTTCAGCGTGGTGTGCCCCGTGAACTTCCCGCGGTACGATCGGCTCGTCGGCGTCGCATCCATGAGCGACAAGTTGTCGCAATTGAGCGACGGGCTCTTGGACATATGGGTGGCATCACGGCTGCGCCCGTACAACATGTCGTATATGTTTTTGTTTCAGGTGGTCAAGGGAATTGCGCTCCGGCATTCTTGAGAGTTTCATCTTGGTGCAGCTGGTGCTCATCTTGCTCACGCCGTTACATTCCTTTACTCGTGACGCCCATGTTGAACGCGTGCCTTTTGTATCTTGCCTGACTCTTTGTGTCGTATCTAGTGGCTTTCGAGCGAAGCCGGGAACGCGCCTAGGTCGTGGACGAGAGACATATCTTGGGTCTCTTGAAATTTGAGCCTTCTAGAGGCATTTGTGGGGCCTCTTGAGAGCCCATGCCGAGCGTTTTCAGAACTCCCAAAAGCCTCGTGGTAACCTCTGGGGGCCTCTTGGGTGCCGCTTGGGTGCCACCTGGTGGTACCAGGGGCTGTCTTGGGGTGGAGAGCCCCAAATGTCAGTTCGAGTGTTCCTTCTGAGGCCCCCTCGGGACTGTTTTGGGTGCCTCTTGTAACCTTCTTGGTGGCTTAGGGGCCGCCTAGGGGTGACAGTCGAGGATTCCTGTGCCATCGGCTCTTGAAGACCGAAGCGCCAGGAATTCTCAACTTATGGAAACAAGTATGTGTTCAATCGTTTCTGTTTCTTGGGCTGGCCTCCGTGGCCTTCACGACGGCCCAAGATGCGCTAGGGAGGGAAGTGTTCGTTCACAAGCACGTTTCAGATGCCTGTGGAGGAGTCGCGCGGCGAACCCTTGGAGTGCCCAGAAGTGCCCATGAAGACCTGTGAGTTGTGGGTTTATTTATGGTTCCTATAACGAGTATCAGAGGTCGGTGGGTGAGACCGAAGCGAAACGTGAGGTGCTCCTGTAGGGAATTCGGCCTCGTTCGGGCGTGTGCATTTTTCTTGGCGAGGACTATCGAAGAGCGTCCTAGATCATCTAGCAAGACAGCACGCACGAAATCGAAACATGCATGCGGAATGGTCAAAAACATGAATCGCCCCCTCGTCGCCACCCGTTGCCCGATGGTTGTCCCGATGGTTGCCCCGATGGTTGTCCCGATGGTTGTCCCGATGGTTGTCCAGATAGTTGTCCTGACGGGTGTCGCGATGATTGTCCCCATGGTAGTCCCGATGGTTGTCCCGATGGTTGGTCACGTGGTTGCCCCGATGGTTGTCCCAATGGTTGGTTGAGAATTGTTCGCTAGTTGGTGAGGTCGACATGCTGATAAGGGGCATCCACATACTGATAGTGCGACCAGTGGATGGTGACACCGATACGATAGATGCCGGAATGGGCTTGTTCAGGAAATCTCAGCGAAGAGGATACTCCAACCCGTGCTTCAGGGCAGGGTGGCGTATACATCGAGATAGGCACACGCATGTGTGAGAAAGCTTAACCAGAGCAGGACTGGGCATGCAATTTGAAGATGATGGCAGCGATGGACAGGAGACGGAGGAAGGGGAGGAACACGGGGTCGGGGAACCATCGGGAATAAAGGGGACATGAGGGCAAGAGGAGGAGGAGGAGGGAGAAGATGAAAAGGCGAGGAGGAGGAGGCGGAGGAGGAGGCGGAGGAGGACGATGGAGGATGATGAGGAGAAAGGAGCAATACGGGAAGGGAGGAAGGCTGATTATGTTGGTGGTAATGATGCTGGTGATGTCCATAATGATGATGATGATGATGCTGATGATGATGATGATGATGCTGAGGATGATGATGATGATGATGATGCTGATGCTGCTGATGATGATGATGATGCTGATGCTGCTGGTGATGATGATGATCATGCTGATGCTGCTGATGATGATGCTGCTGATGATGCTGATGATGATAATGATGATGATGATGATGATGCTGATGATCTTGATGATCGTCTCCATTTCGCCCGAGCGATTGCAGCCGACTTCGGCACTCCTTACACTCGCAAGCAATGTGGACAGGGCGCCTGTAAAGCGGCGAGGGGCAGGGGCCAGCCCGCAGTCGCAGCGGCTGCCTAGCGGTGCCGACGCAGTGCAAGACCGACACGACGGAGGCGCCCACACCTGGCAGAGGCGCTTGCGTTCCCAGATGCACAGATTTCGCCGCCGAGCCAGGATGCTGCGCATGGGCGCAGCATTCGGAGTGCCGCCAGGCCTCGAGAAGCTGGGAGAGGAGACGTACGACGACAGGACCGACATGGCCGCTGAACAGCCCCTGCTGGGAGGCCACCCCGAGCCTGGGGCTCGGCAGGGAACGACTGAGGAGGAAGAGGAGAAGCATCATTGCGCGGATGAGCACAATGCCAAGGACCACACCGCGTGTGAAGAAGACATGGACGCAGGTTTGCGCGACAAGGTCTACGACTCGCTCTCCCTGCTGACGGCGCGCGCATGGAGACAGAGTGCAGCGAGGGTAGTAGAGGAGGGCGAGCTTGTCGCCCACCTGCCAGTAGGTTGGCAGAACGCAGCAAACACTTGGGTGAAAATTGGCTTGATGAAATGGACACAAGGATTGCGCTTCACGAGCACCGAGTTCATGTCTGACCCATCGCTGAGCCTAGAAATAACACGCGTTTTTCCAAGCGAGCGCGAAGAAAAACAGCAATAACGATACTACCAAGCAGTGAGCGTTCCGCCAGGCGCATTTGCGAGTGTGGATAGGGGATGGGCCACAGAGCCATAACCTTGCCTTTTCATATGGATGTACGTCTAGCCTCGCGTAGGGACAGTCCGAAGCCCTGCGTAGGCAGGAGTTCTCCCACAGGCGAGCCTCTTGCTCCTATTGAATGAGTTTCCCAGCAGCCACTATCGCATCTGCTTAGAGGGTCTTTTGGCTGCCCAAGGTCTGGACTGGACTGGACTGGATGATCATGATACTGATGATGGTGATGGTGATGGTGATGGTGATGATGATGCTGATGATGATGATGGTGGTTGTAGTGGTGATGGTGATGCTGATGATGATGATGGTCGTGGTGGTGATGATGGTGGCGATGCTACTTATGATGATGCTGATGATTCCGATGATGGAGATGGTGATGGTGAAGATGGCGACGGTGATGCTGATGTTGATGATGATGCGTATGATGATGATGGTGCTGATCGTGACGATGCTGATGATGCTGCTGCTGATGATGATGTTGGTGATGGGACTGTCTGTGCTAGTGGTGATGATGCTGATTGTGATGCTTGTGCTTCTGCTGATAATGATGCCGATGATGGTGATGCTCATGATGCTGATCACGATGATGCTGCTGATGATGCTGACGATGGTGGTCATGAATGTGACGATAATGGTTATGGCGGTGATGGTGGTGATGCTGATGTTGATGATGAGAACGGATCTGTTTATGACGATGACGACGATGGTGATGACGATCATGAGTATGGTGGCGACGATGATGACGATGCGGATGATGCTGGTAGTGATGATGACACCAATGATAACGCTGGTGGTGATAAAGTGGTGATGGTGCTTGTGGTGGTGGTGACGTTTATGCCAGTGTGGCGGTGATGGTGATGACGATGGCGGTGGTTACGATGATTCTGATTAGTATGATATGACCGTGATGGTGAGATGATGAGATGGATGCGGACGTTTATGATGATGGGGGACGGTGATGGTGAATCTGACGATGCCGATGATGCCGATGACGATGATGGCGATGTTGATGCTGATGTCAATGCTGTTGATGATATGGGTTCGTTGTGCTCATGGGATGGTGATGATGATTATGGTGATGATGATGATGATGATGATGATGATGATGATGATGATGATGATGGTGATGGTGATGATGATGATGATGATGATGATGGTGATGATTGTGATGCTGGTGATGATGGTGATGATGGTGGTGATGGTGATGGTGTTGGTGATGGAGATGGTGATGATGATGGTGGTGGTGTTGGTGGTGATGGTGATCATGCCCATGATGTTGTTGTTGGTGGTGGTGGTGACGATGAGTTGCACGAAAAACGCATCCGCCACAGGACAAGTTCTACAACATGCAACTGCTTGCCGCAACGGCTGGCGACCAGTTCTGGACGGTGCAGAACTGGGGCAAGACTGGCATGGCAGGAGGGGCGAGGAGCACATCGGATCAGAGTGCTCGAGGGGAGGGGAGGTGAGGGGCTCCTCCTTCTGCCTCCCTCCTCCCTCCTCCCCCTCCCTCCTCCGTCTTCCTCCTCCTTCCTTCGTCCTCCGTCCTCCCGTCTCCCTCCTCCGCCCTTTCTGCTACCTCCTTCCTCCTACATCCTTATTTCTTCTCCCCCGTACTCCTCGGCAGCAGGGCGATATTCCCACCCTTGTCCTTTCCCCCCTCCTTTCGGGGAGGGCGAGGGGGGTGGGATGGGGAGGAGAGAGGTGGCGAGTGGCAGCAGGTCCGTCCGACTCCCGCCGACGGGCACATTGCAAGCTCCGGATGGTTCAGGTGCACAGCCCGTTCAGGTTGAACTCACAGTTCAAATAGAGAGCGTTGTAACGAACAGCGCCGTGACGACAGCGTCCGAGAAATATTGAGCGAGTCGAGCAACACAATGTGTAATCCTGGGATTGATTCGCTATTCTTTGGATACCTGCTGGAGCGTCTCTTACACGAGGCCCTCCACACGTTGGGTCTCCTGGAGGAGTTGCGATTGGGCCGCAAGGATGGCCTCGTTGCTCCTCCAGCAGGCGAGGTTGAACGAAGCGAATGGTTTCGCGCTTCGTCCTTGACTCCTCCATCTACTGGAGCACGCGGACCTTGCCGTCGAACTCCGTGAGGCGGCACTTGATGGCGCCTACCGTGCTGGTCGCCTCTGGATCGTCGTCGCGTTGCTGTGCCATGGGGGCTGTTCCTGGCCGCTGCCAGGCTGCGCGGAGCTGGTCCTCCAGCTCCTGGTGGGCGCGTAGCCTGGCGTCGAGGTCGCGCCCGCGAGCCGCGAGCCGAATGCCCAGCTCCTCGGTGGCCTTGAGCGTTGCCTGCAGCTTGCCCTCCAGCGCCGTCACGGCCGTGAGCTGTGCCTTGAGCTGCCCCTTGCGCACCTCCAACGCCGCACAGCCCGGGCCCTCCAGCTTCGTCGAGCCTGACAGGTCGCGGGCGGCCGTCGAAAGCCCTTTACAGGTCTTGGGAGGCCGCCTCCTGCGCAGCGGCTTCAGACTACCCCTCGACTTCGGCCGACTCCCTGGTGGTCTGTAGCGAGGACAAGAGTTTTGTGACACAGGGGATGTCGCGGCGCCAACCGCTCGCATCAGATCTTCTGGTACCTGCATTCTGCGGGTTTCACCCGCTCTGGCTGAAACCGCTCTGGCTTGCGGCCACATTTCCCGCTGCCCTATTATATTGTCCTCCTGCTTTCTTTCATTTTGTCCTTCCGCTGCCCGCTGTAGCCGCGCTTCACGGCATGCCTCCGAAGCGGTTCCATCGCGGACATCGTTCGGGCGGCGGTGGCCGCCGCGGTGGCTGGCACGTGGGGCGTTGCAGGACCGACCGACGCAGACACAGTCGCCGCTGCGCGCACGGGACGAGCCGGGGCACGAGCCGAGGCTCTCGCTACCGCTGCGGCCAACAAGTTGTGCGCCACTCGCGCTGTCGCCTCGGGCGCGTGCTCGCGAGCCGCCGCCGGATCCGCCGCGGCTTCTCGTGCCGCTTCAAGCGCGGTCGAGGGCCTCAGCTGAGGAGGCCCAGGCGAAACAGGACCCCCCTTAAGTGTAATTCGAACACAAACAAAGCCGAATTTCAGCTGACCCCATCTGTGCTTTCATACGCCTTTGCGCGTGTTTTTTTTGTTTTTTTCTTTGCGGCCGGCTTTCTGGAATGCGCGGTTCGCGCGGCTATGGCGCGGCAGTCTCTCGCGCGTGTCTGCGTCAGGCTGGCGCAGCCAGCGATGGCGTTGTAGCGAATGGCGCCGAGCCGTTACGATTGCGTCCGCTTCGGGGCCGTTCGTGCGCGCTTCGTCGTTCGCATGTTTCGAACTTCCTCCAGTGTGCTTCGCGCGCGCCAGCCCTGGCGCCGACGCTGCTACCTCCCGTGATGAACATGCGGCGGTCCAATAACGTCGTATCCCAGTGTGGCGGAGGTCCACATTGAGCCAAAAACGTCCATTCAAGTATGTTACCATTTGTTTCCATCATCACTATCGTACTCATTGTCGCCAACAGTTCCCTCTTCTTCTTCACGTCGCTGGTATGTCCTCCCAGGTCTGCGCAGGCCCAATCCCTTATCCCTCTCCCTGCCCTTGTCCTCCTTATTTTTTCCTTTCTCGATCCTCGTCGGTGGTCCCTCCTCCATTCCTCTTCCTGCCTTCCGTTGTGTTCCCTCTTGCCTCCCTCATCCGTCCTTCTTCCGCCTCTCTCCTCCGCCTCCGTCCTTCCTTCGTCGCCTTCCTGCCTTCCCTTCGCGCCCTCCTTGTCGTTCCTCCCGCCCTTCGCTCCGGGCGGTCTTACCTCCCCCTTCTGCAGCCATGCCCCTCCATCGCGCTCCTCCTGTTTTCCATCGCACCCCTCCTTCCTCCTGCGAGGTCCTATGAGGTCATGTTTGGGCCCTCGGGGAGAGGCCCCGCGGCTGGGATGCGGCTGGGCGGCGGCGGGGCCGCGGCGGGGCCGCGGCGTGGATTCGGCTGGGATTTTGTTGGCGGCTTTTTCTGGGGGGGGGGGCGGCGGCGGCTGGGCGGCGGCGGGTCGCGGCTGGCGGCGCGGGGCCGGCGGGGCCGCGGCGGGGATTTGGCTGGGATATTGCCCGGCGGCGGCCGGGATTTTGCTGGGATTGTTGCCGGGCAGGGGGCCCGCGGGCCTCCGAAACGTGTCTGCAGCGAAGTGCTGGCGCGCGGCTTGCATTGGTCAGGGCGCCATCGGCTTACTAATGCTCGCACCCGGCGCCCTCGTATCGTAGCGGGCTGCGTGTACAGCGTACTTCGCATTAAAAGCTCGCATATGTTTGACACTTGTGCTTCGGCTTCGCAATCGTGCTGCACTGTGGCGGCATCGTCGTTTCGACATACTTTGTCTGCTTCGCAGTCGTGCTGCGCGTTGTGGCGGTATTCTTGTTGCGACGCGCCCCTGGTGTGCTTCGCAGTTGCGCTGCGCTGCGTGGCGGCCGTTTCGCGTTGCCGCGCGTGCGTGTTTTCTGCTTTGCAATCGCGCTGCGCTGTGTGGTGGTATCTTTGTTTCGACGCGCGCGCCTGTCTTTTTCCGCGGGCGTGATCGTGTCTGTGGCTATTCCATTGCAGTAGCAACGCCCTTGTTTGTCGCGCCCAGGGGGGGCGCTGCCCCCCCTTCGTTCGACGCGGCTTTCGCTCGCCGCGGTCGCCCAGTTGCGCGGCGCAGCGAAGCGCTGCAGCTTCTTTCAGCTTAGCCGCGCCGCAGCAGGCGGCGAGGCGCCTCGCCCCCGTCCCCCCGTTTAGTTCGCTCGCGGCTCGGCATTCAGCGCCGCGCGGCATGCCGCGCCCTGCGAGAGCGAATTATTGAGTTGGGCGCTGTTCAAGACTGCGCGGTTCTGCTCCTGCGCCACCCCCCATTTCCCCTTCCCTCCGACCGCCCCCCCTCCATCCCCGCTCCCTGTCCTTTCCTGCAGCTGCCTCGACGCTTCGCCGCCGCTGCGCCGCTGCCCTTCCCCGCGAGGCTGCTGTCTTCGGGGTCCTCTCTCGCCTCGGGAGGGCCGTCCCGCGGCGGAGCTGCGACCGTGCGAGCACCGTGCCACTCCTGGCTTTTCTCTCGGGGAGGGCCCCTTCGACGCTCGCGCGCGCGCGCCTGGGCCTCCTCAGCCTCGGCCTTGGGCGATGCGCGCCCTCCGAGGCGCTGGGCGCCCTCGCGGGGCAGAGCCCGAGAAACTCTCGAGCCGCAGAGCATCCCGTCCTATTCCGTCCAGACCGACGAGCCACAGGCGATTCGGCCGCCTCCCGTTCCGTCCCGGTTGGGGCTGTTGGATTCAGGACCCCCGACCCCTTTGCGGCGAGGGCGACGAAGAAAAACTGCGGACCCCTTGCTTCGTCCTGCTGTAGATCTCCGCCCCCGGCCGTCTGAACTGTGGCAGAGCCAGCTGCCCCCTCCCCCTCCGCAGCAAGGGGGCTCTCCGGATCGGGCTCTCCGGTCTCGGGGGCGACGTCTTCGTGCCCCGAATCGAAGTCTCTCGGGCGAGCGTTTGCCGCTGCAACCCTGGCTGCTGCGCGGCCGCGCCTCCCGCGCCGCCGGCGGTGTTTCCTGCGCGGCAGGCCTTGGCCTCCACGGCGGATTCGGCCGCCCTGCGGCCGCATGCGCCCGAGTTTGATTCCGATGCCTCTTCAAGTGGTCGCCTGTCTTCTGCAGCTGGGCCATCAGCGCGCTCAGCCAGGGCCAGTTCGGCGCGCGTCGGCGGCAGCTCGCGGTGGCGGCGTTCCCGGCGCACCCGACTTCTCCGAAGAGATCGTGCCCATCTCTGCTCCCTCTCCTGCGCCTCCACGTGCGCCATCGCCCGCAGGCCCGCTCCGACTCCTCCGTCGCCTCGCCCTGCTCGGTCGGCCGAGGCGATCTGCCGGACGACGCCCGCCCCAGCGGAGGCAGGGTGCTGGGCCGCGCCGCGGCCGCGCACGCCGTAACCTCCGGGGTGCTCCTCCTCGCTCCGCGCAGTTCCCGCTCGGCCTTCGCCCGAGGGGGCGTGCCCGGGCCGGCCGCGAGGGCGCCCCGCCCGCGCCGCCCGGAGCTTTGCTGCTCCGCCGCGCGGAGGCGCTCCGCCTGCTCGGCCCGCCGCGCCGGGGCCGCCGCCTGCACTCGGAGGCACTGCCCGGGGGGGCTCCCGCGTGCCCGGCGGCCCCCGGCACTGGCTGCGGGGGCGTCTGCGTCGGGGGCGGAAAAGAGGGGGGTGAGGACAAGGGGGGGGTGGCTATCGTGGCGGGGGCCATGATATCTCCCCAGATTTCATGGCGCCTCTTCTTGTTTCACTACGTCCCTGGCCCCCCTGCTGGGCCGCGCACATGCCGCCGGTCATTATTTGCACCCCCCCCTCTTGGACACCCCCCTCTTGGCCGCTCCCGAGTCTGCTCCGTCTCCGCCTGCCGACGCCGCCGGCAACAGCTGAAGTGGAACCCTCGCCGGGCGCGTTCCGCTCCTCGCAGAGTGCGTGCTCGCAAACGCCCGACAAAGTCACATGCCTGCTTCGATGCGTAATTTATCGTGGATCCACCGCGGCGGATCCAGGCGATTTGCGAGTGGCTACTTTGCGAGTCGTGGAACGCGCTCGAGGAACGGGCATGGAGAGCTCGCGCCACGGCGGCACCCTGGGATCGAGCTGGCGAGTTCAGAAACCCGGAGCCCATGTGGCTGAACCTTGAGCTGCTTCAGCTTGAACCGAAGTAGCTCGAGCAAAAGTGGCGGGAGGGGGGGCGGGCAGTCTTCTGCTGCTGCGCCTCCTGCCGCCCTCCGAGGCGAAAGCCAAACGGACCAACGAGTGTTGATTCTCACGCTCCAGTATACCAATCCGTACCACATCAGGCGATACTTCAGATTTCACGATCAAGCCATACGAAGTCATTCAAGGCACCCACTTTCGTTTTGGACATTCAATGTGGCTGCCAGCTGTGTGCGGTTTGGTGGCGGTGTTTTCCGAAGCGTGGTGGATGTTCTATCTGTAGAAGTCGGGGACATGGAGTGAATAACATGGGGGGATGATGGCTGAGGGGGTTGGGCAGTCTCCTCCTCGTCTTCCCTCCCTCCTCTCCCCGCCCATTTCTCCTTGTCCTCATTTTTTACCTCACCTTGAAAAATGTCAACGGGAAGATTCCGTTCGAACTCAAGACTAAATTGAGTGTGGGTGCGGGGGGAGCGACCCACAGCGAAAATATTACCTGTCCACGACAGGCGTGGTCATCTGTGGCGAGGGAACACCTCCTTGAATCAGGGATGCGCTCAGGGGGCCGAAGCTGCCGACGTGGCCGCGCTTAGCGTATGATTGCATGGCCAGCCTGGGGAGCGGCGATGAAAATGGGACCGAGGATGAGGAGTATGGGAGGGTGAGGATGGAGTAGGAGCTGGAGTTCTAGCATTCGGAGGAGGAGGCGGCGAGATCGAAGAGGGGATAGAGGAGGAGAAGAAGGAACAGCAGCAAGATGAGGACTCAGAAGTGGGTGTGGGCAGGACGTGTCCACACCGACGGGCCCTTCGCCGACCTGGTCTCCGCGAAGCGCAACTTCCGGAGAAAGTACAGGGCGAAGACAGGACACGGTGTGTTTCTGCTGCTGATCCTCCCCCGTTTCTTTCTCCTCCGCCGCCTCATCCTTCCCCTCCTCATCCTCCCCCTCCCTCCGCCGCCGCCGCCGCCGCCTCCTCCTCCTCCTATTATAGAAGTTCAGCGTTACGTCATGGTGTGTTCCGCGGGGGGCTTCGCCAACAAATCATTGTGCTTGATGTAAGATTTTGGTGATTGTGGCAATACTGGAGCAAACTTGAGCAAGACTGGAGCAATCATGGAGCAATGAAGAGCAATAGTGGCGCAATCGTGTAGTACAGTCAGCGCGCTGAGATAAGGATCGCCTTAGGTTCAGGGGGGGCTTTTGTTTTCGGGTCGCTCCTTAGATCCATGTCGGGGAGCGTTTTCGTTGCCGAGGCTCGCTGTGGCCAGAAAAACCTGTTCGTTACTTATTCAACGTTCTTCATCGCAGCGTGATGAGTTTAATAATCATATGAGGAGGAATTAGTGATGGAGGTGCGGTCGCCTTCTTAGCAGAAGTAACAATGACAACTTTATGGGTAACATTGGTGTTGTCTTAAACTTGAAGTGTTTGTTGTACACTTATGTGTGAGACTGCAGTGCGCAATGCTCCATCATGTATCGCTGGTATGCTTAAACTATTTGTTCGATTGGTCAGCGCTGCGCACTCTCGGAAAACGTATTTATAGCCTGCCTGGAATTGGAAAGACGCGGCTGGAGCCGAACCGTGTGGCGCAGTACCTCCTGAAAAACCATGTCGTTGGGATCATTCAGTCGTTTTTGGATCATTGAAACGTGATCCATCGAATAATTCGATGCGAACCTCTTGTTAGTACATTAGAGGTCCTGGGGGTGTTGGGAGGAGCCCGGGTGACATACTGCAGAGTGGCACCGCGGTCCATGTAGACTCCGCACGATGTCCAGATGGAGTCGGGCCACGGTGCGACGGGAGCACGATTGGAGCAGTACTGGAGCATTCTTCTTCTTCTTCTTCTTCCTCCTCCTCCTCCTCCAAAGGAGAAGAGGAGGGAGGAGAGAGGGAGGAGCAAGAATAGAGCCGTACTGGCGCAATAATGCAGCATGGATGGAACGGCCATGGAGCAGCAGTGGAGCACGACTGGAGGGCAAAGGGGGCCATCATGGAGCAAGAAAGGGCAAGTGGTGGAGCAATCATGGAGCAATGCTAGAGCAATGGGTCAAGGCAGGAACAATAGTGGAGCAAGACTTGAGTCAGAGTTGACAACACATATGACACAACAGCTGTTTTTTCAAAATCATTACACACAACAGTGTAGCGACACCAAACTGAGACGAGAAGCACACAGCAACGATACGGGAGCACACAATCTTTTTTCAAGCAATCCGAAACGAATCGCGAAGGCAGCGATCGCCGATTTAACACTGTATTGGGACTGCCTCGCATGCGAAATGCGTCGCCACCAGGTTACATGAGGTATGGTCAAAGCTTTTATGTTCATTATCATCTCGCGCCCGTCGATTTCCTGGACTATAGTTTTCTCGTATGCCGAGGGTGAGCGCAAGTGATTTGCTTCTATTGTTTCAGCCTGCCACCGGGCCCGCGTCCGCCGCTGTCAATCAAAATTCTTCTGCCGATGGCAGCCATTTTCAACATCATTGTCGGATTTTTCTGTGGAACGGTCACAAGAGTGGCTAATGCTGGCTGCATGTTATAGGCACGCGGGCACGCAGACTTCGGATGCGCCTGCCGTGGCAATGCATGTGTGTGTGTGAGTGTGTGTGTGTGTGTGTGTTTGTGTGTTTGTGCGTCTGCACGCGCGCGTGTTTGTGTGTGTGTGTGTGCGTGTGCGTGGGGTGTTGCAAACTTCGTTGGCATCGCTGGATTAGTGTCAACTTGCAGATGGTCTGAAGAATCGGCTTGGGAAAGCAGCCATGTGATGGAATGGGGCACACTCAATGTTCACAATAATATTGATCAAAGGACCCCGTCAAAGCTTGTTGGGTTTCCTTTGCGCTGTTGGTGCGGTCTTGGGGCTGTTCTGTTCAATGTAAACGGCTATTGCATGCTATTGTGGGCGATGCCCGAACGACAACGGAAGGAGACGCCGCGACACAGCGCAACCAACGTCCATCGGGTCTATTCGCGCAACATGAAATTGTGAACGTTTAGGCACTCATGGTCCCCATGCTTCTCCAACGTGACATATCCAACCACGCAGAATGGTTCATTGATACAGCATGCTCCATGACATACTTCTGACAACGTCAGTTGACATGGAAGATGACGAGCAGGTGCCCGTCAGATATGTGGTGGCTTGTCACCGGCGGGCGGACCGCCCGCTCATTCACGCTTGGTTCGTGGAACCCAGAGTGGCAGGTTGCGTCACCAACGGGGCGATCAAATCAGACGTGTCGCCGCTGAGTGAATCCAGGAGCACTTGATCAAGACGGCCGCCCTCCGCCATCCCCGCTGGGAGACAGCATGCGCAATTCAAAGAGAACGTTCATCAGGGACAACGTGATACTTCGAATGATACCCTTGCGGCAAAATATAAGTATTGAAGATGGCGACGTCGAATCATATGCGAAAGGTGTCGACAAGTCACGCAGTTCGAACTTGCTCCGACTGCATCGCATCTGGGCAGTCGTCGCATCTCGCGGTGTAGGACATGCAAAGTTTAAACAGACACAATCATATGGACATACGACCGAGGAGATGTCGAGAGGTCAATGCCCGAACATTCAATGGAGATCGGCTGCCACATGCTCCCGGTCGACCCAAGCGGCGCGCGTGTCGAATCGGACTGGCCCGCGCTCGAAGTTGCGCAACAATTTGTTGTCGAAGGGAATGGCATTCTCACAGTTGGCCACTATGCGGGCGCTCCGTGTTTGCAACGAAAGCAATCGTTGGAAGTGCTTTGCGCGTTGGAAGCGGCCACTCCAACTCATGCTTTCGTCCACGAGGAACCATCTTCATCATTGATGCGTCGAACATATCCGATTGCTTCCCTTGTCCTGGGCAACGTTGCGCTTCGGCGGGATCCCAGCACTCGCATTCGCCAGATGGTTTCCTCGGAAATTCCACGGGCGCTGGATTGGACGCGGAGGAGCCCGGTTGCGCGGCCAGGCTCCCGGGATCCCTGGGTCCAGGCATATTCCAGTTGAGATCATCAGCGAAACGCTGCGGAGCTGCAACCTCCTTCCAGTCTTCCACTGTTTCGCCGTGTGAGCGCGCGGTTTCATTGAATTACTGTTCAAAAAATGAATGAGCCGTTCAATGCGTCGGGAATCGAAACGGTTAAATCCATGATAGGAGGCGATGCGGATTTCATGGATTGGCGGTGGACGTTTCCACAGAGTACGTGGGAAGGTATTGTGAACGTGCAGCGATTGACCGGTTTTGTTCTCAATGCGTTGCCCCGTCGCGAGTGCAATAATTTGGACCCCAGATCATCGCGCGATTGCGCGACGGCCGCCCTGCGACAGCATATGAAGAAGTTCGCGCCAGTCGTCATGTCGCTGCATTTTCAAGACCCGCCCGCGATTTCTCGGCATGGGTTACTGGGCGCGATTGCCACGAGGCGGCGTGATTATCTAGAGCGCCCGTTCCAATGAAACCTTCATTTTAGGGGCGTCGCGCACGCGGCCCGCAGGTTGAGTCGACGCGTCGACGAGCCGATCGAGTCCGAGACGATCTCAACGCGCGTGGCCATGTTGACACGTTCACATCACTGGTGTTTGTTTTCAGTCGGATCATTTGGCTCGCGCGGCTCCGCTTCGCATGGGTGGACGAGGAGCCCCCGCGCAATTTGGAAGGTTTTTCACCGTGGGGGCTTCGGGTCAAGTTAGTCGGCGCGTTTGAAAATCTAAACGCAGGGCTCCTCGACAGCATTCAGCGCCAGCGAATGCAGCGTGGTTCTCGACATGCAGAATGCCAGGCGCGAAACGTCCAGGTTGTCGCTCGGGGTCGTGGTTCTTTCGGTCTGATGGGAAACAATGCCCTCCAGGATCCGCCCGTGCACCCCCCGGGCCCGCGCGGCTCCCATCAGCTCGGCTTCTTGGGCTATTTTGAAGCCTTCTTGGGTCGTCGTGGGGCCATCTGGGAGGCTTCTTGGGCCGTCTTGGGCCGACGGAAGCTGGAAAAGGAAAGCGATGCTGCGACAATCATTCAAAAAGGCCTCTTCGGTTCTTGCTGGAGGCTCTCATGGAGTTGTCTTGGGCCGTCGTGGAGGTTTCTTGGGCCGTCATGGGGGCCTCTTGGCCCGTGGTGGTGGCCTTGGTGGCTTGTCGTGGCCGTTTGAGGAGCCCTCTTGGGTATCCCCGACGCCTTGGAGAGGACAGGGGACGTGTCTGGGCGCCGACAGGGCCTCGCAACGGCGGGAGTGCGCGCAGGGGGAAGCGGCGAGCGGGGGGGCCTTGAAGATTAGAGAGCACCTTCCAGAGAACACTTGGCATTGTAGCACGCCTCAACTTGCCAGGGAACACAGCTGCGGATTATGCTGGTGGTGATACTGATGCTGATGATGATGCTGATGATGAGGACAATGCTTACAGTGATGGCGATGATGACGACAATGATGACGACGACGATGGCGGTGGGAATCGAAGGACAATCCACGTCCACTTGGTCAAACGTGGGGAACCGACCGCACTAGTGTGCCGCGCCAGCATGGACCACGCAGTGCGCTGCGGCGAGTGTTGGTGCACCCCGCCGCGTGCCGCAGCACCTGCGAGCGGCGCAGGAACGACCTGTCCCAGGTACTAGAAGCCCGGGAGCCTGGAGGAACCGAAACGATGATGACCCATGGCCGCCATCGCCCAAAGGTGGAAACTGCTGCGAGGAAACCATCACTTGAGGGAACGGCCGTTTTTCCGCTTGGTTGTTGGTCGAGCGCCCTCTGGTCGCCGCGCAGTTCGCCCATGGTCGCTCTGCGCTTCGCCAGCGTCGGATTCGCCGCGCGTGGGAGTCGCGTGCGCAGGAACCGCCGTGCGGAAACCGCCGCCGCTGGAGCATCTCGCGGGGGAGTCTGTGCCGTTTGCGTGGGAGCCGCCGCGCGCGGGAACCGCCTGCGTAGGAACCGCCGCCGTGGGAGCCGCCTCCACGGGGGCCTGCGCCGTTGGAGACGCCGCCGTGGGAGCCGCCCTGGTGGGGGCCGCCGCTGCGAGAACCGCCTCCGTGGGAGCCGCTGTTTTGGGAACCGCCGCTTTGGGAGCCGCCGTGGGCGCCGCCGCCGCGGGCCCCGCCTCCGTGGAAACCGCCACCGTGGGAGCTGCCGCTGTGGGAGGCGTCTCCGCGTGGAAACCGCCGTCGTGGTAACCGCAGCCGTGGAAGCTGCCGCCGCGGTAGCCGCGGCGGCAGCCAGGGGGGCCTGTCTCGAGGAGTCACCGTGATTGGAGGAAACCACGTCCGTGGGAGCCGCCGTGGGGGCCGCCGCGGTGGGATCCGTTTCAGCGGGGCCCTCCGCCGTGGGAACTGCCCCCGTGGGAATCGCCTCCGTGGGAACCGCCGCCGCAGGAGCCGCACTGGGAGTCGCCTCTTTGGTCACCGTTTCGGTTGGGTCGCCGTTTTGGGAACCGCCGTGGGAACCACTTCCGTGGTAGCCGTTGCCGTGGGGGCCGTTTCCGCGGGAGCCGCCGCTTGAAGTGGGCCGCCCAGTGCCGCAAGTGGGGGCCGCCACGAGTGGGGCCGAAGTTGAACACCACATACAAGCCGAAGGGGAAGAGGACCTAGTGGCATCAGATGGATGGGCCGTGCCCATAGAGGGCCTGGCGCCGATGCCGCCAGCGCGCGAGGGACATCTGGAGCCCGAAGGGAAAGTGTAGGTGGACATGAAGGTGAGCGTGAACCGCTGCACCGCCCGTGCCAGAAAGCCGGATCAGGTCAGGACGATGATGATGTATGGTCGCGAGGGTATCGAAGGACAATCCGCGCCCACTTGGGCACTGGCCAGGGGCCGACCACGTTGGTGTGCAGCACCCGCATGGACTTCGCAGCGCACTGCGGCGTGTGTTGCTGCACCCCACCGCGTGCCGCAACGCTTGCGAGCGAGATAGGAACGACCTGTCCCAGGCACTAACGGCCTGGAGGAACCGAAACGATGATGCTGATGACTTTAATGGTGGTTGTGGCGGTGATGATGTTCATGATCCGGTTTATGATGATGCTGATGACGATGATAATGGTGATTGATAATCCTAGTGGCGATCGCGGTGATCATCGTAATGGTGAAGGTGCTGATGTTGTTGCTGATGTTGATTGCGATGTCGATGCCAGTGATGAGGATGATGATGCTGCTCATGATGATGTTGGTGATCACGTTGATATGGATCATGACAGTGGGCGTGATGATGATGATGATGATGATGATGATGATGATGATGATGATGATGATGATGATGATGATGATGATGATGATGGTGCTGCTGCTGATGATTTTTTTTTTTTTTTTTTTTTTTTTTTGTGGTGATGCTGATGGACGACGATGTTGCATGGTTACGATGAGGATACTGATGACGACGTTGATGCTGATTATGCAGATGATGGTGATGGGTGTGATGATGACGGCCATGCTGCTGGTACGTATGATGGTGATGATGAGGCGTTTTTTCCAGGAGGAAAGTGACGATGCCAAGTTCAGGAAGGGAGGTGATTCATATGATCAGGAAGCGGAGGGAGCAGGCCGGAGGCGGAGGAGGCGGAGAAAAGGATACACGGATGATGACAGGGGCGGGAACGAGAAACATAAGGAAGATGAATGAGGGGGGTGGCAGAGGGCGGAATAGGGGTGGTAGGGCAGGAGGGCGGAGAATGAGGAGGATGGGATGGGGTGGAGGAGGAGAATGGGGTGAAGGAGGATGTTGACGTGTCGGAGGAAAAGAATTGGGCGCTGAAGGGGGATGATGATGCTGATGATGATGATGCTGATGCTGATGCTGATGCTGATGCTGATGATGATGATGATGATGATGATGATGATGATGCTGATGCTGACGATGACGATGATGATGATGATGATGCTGATGATGATGATGATGATGATGCTGATGATGATGATGATGATGATGATGATGATGATGATGCTGATGATGAGGAGGAGGAGGAGGCGGAGGAAGGGAAACAGGACGTGAAGTGTGAGGCTGAGAAAAAAGAGTAGGACGTATAGAAAAAGGGAAGGGGGGATGAGGAGTTTGTGGGGATAAGTTGGGGATGACCATGAAAGCGCGGTCATACTGACGAGGCTCCGCCGATAGATCGCTTGTGTTGGTTGGCATATGTGTCGTGCGGCCATACTTCGCTCCGTGTTTCTGACCTGGCCCATCGCTGGACAGAACCACGGCCAGTGTGTTTATGGGATTTGTTCGAAGTGAGATGGGCGTTGCCCTAGGTGCCCGCTGGCCTCCTTCATCTGACACGAGCGCAGTTGCACTGAGCTCGTTGCCTGCAGTGTCCTGTACGAGTTGGCGGACCGCTTCGTGCCATCAGAGACAGCGTTGTATCATGACTTGTGCAGTTTTCGTGTGTCGCTCTGATGGTGGTACTCGCAGTTACTCTTTGTCAGCTAGCGCCTGCGTTTTCAACCAGCAGTGGCACGCCATGGTCGCACACACAATATTATTCCATGTGTAATTCAAAGGGCGTTCATATGGGTCCACCGATCTAGCTCCCCCTGCCCTGGCGGCCCTTGATGGTGCCGCAGCGTACATGTCCAGCTCGATACCTTGCTTCCCCTGATCTCCCGTCCCCTTTAATTCTTGTTTGGGCTGCAGCTATGTTGGCGTTAACGCGAGCTTCGCGAGTTTACCGACCGTGTGGAATGACAGCCACGTCCATGCAGTACGTTACGTTATCCTTTTCGCCTCCCTCTTCCCTTCTCGGGATGAACGTTGGCAAAGCACGCACTCTCAAGCCTTCGCGCTCTTCTTGACTTCTGCGCCTCATAGCCTATCACTTCATGTCTCATGAGGCGCTTACAAGAAAAGAGAGACGGAGGAGGACTAAGAGGAGAAGGAGGAGGCAAGAGGGAGTCGGAGCGATGACATAGAGAGAGGGAGAGAGAGAGGGAGAGATAGGGACACATACACAAAAGAGAGATGGAGAGAGAGAGAGAGAGAAATAGAAAGATAAGAGAGGGATGGCAATGAGAAGGAGGAGCGAGGATGGGACAGGATGATGGATAGTGGAGGGTGGAGGATGGAGGATGCTAGAGGATGGAGGGGGGAAGGGGGAAAGATGCAGGCTGGAGGATGGAGGATGCTAGAGGATGGAGGATGATGGATAGTGGAGGGTGGAGGATGGAGGATGCTAGAGGATGGAGGATGGAGGATAGTGGAGGGTGGAGGATGGAGGATGGAGGGGGGAAGGGGGAAAGATGCAGGCTGAGACGGCAGGGTGCCGGGATGGGTGAGGAGGGGGCGAGTGCAGCGCCCCTGCGCTCGGTCGAGGCAACGTCTTCGGGGAGCTCGGGGCCTCCTTTCTGGAGAAAGACGGCAAGTACAAGGTCCTGGCGAAGGCGGCTTCGATGGGGAGAGGAGGGGCGGGAAGGGAGGGGGAAGAGCGACGAGAGTGAGGAGGAGGAGGGGGAGGAGGAAGGAGGAGGAGGAGGAGGAGGAGGAGGAGGAGGAGGAGGAGGAGGAGGAGGAGGAGGAGGAGGAGGAGGATGAGGAGGACCGTGAGGGTTACGGGGCTTGGGGCGGAGGCAGGGAGGAGGTGGAAGCTGTGGTGAGGGGGCCCCAGCCTCTGCGAAATTTAATGCAAAGGTGGAGGGGGGGAGGAGGGAGGCCTGTCTCCAATGCGAAATTTCATGAAAAGGTGGAGGGGGGAGGAGGGAGGCCTGCCTCCAACCATTTGCACGCGTGAGGGTGTTCGCGATGTGCATGACCTTTGGCGAGACGCCTCACCATATGATGTAACCTCCCAGCGGAAATCTCGACGCGGCCGTCCTCACGGTCGACTTTTCCCCAGCGATCCCTGTGGCATTTGGTGCCATCCGATCTCGGCTGGGATGCGCTGTCTCGAACCACGAGGCAGCAGACGGCGTCATGCTGACAGCTGCCTGTCTGCTTCGTATCCCATGCGCCGGTGGATACATTCGGAGGTCTATTACGAACACCTCCTTGGTTCCAAGGGCCGGAGCCCCTCGGCCAGGCACCAGCAATCGGAAAGGGGGCCTGCTAGAGGTTAGACTCTGAAAACTCCCCCATCGGCGTCACCCCAACATACTTGTACTATATGTGCGTCGCCCCCTCAGGAGCGATGCGCCCCCCGAGAAAATTCTTACAGTATATGTGTCGTGGCGGGCGCTTTCTGGCCACACCGCTCGAGAGACGATACACTACAAGATGGGTATACTGTATGTCCGGGTCGGACGCGCGCCTCCAAGGCGGACGTATAGTATTAGTTATGTCTATGTGCGTCTCATGCGTTCTGAGCACCGGCTGTGCCTTTTTTTGCCGCCGCCCGAGCGCCGCCCGTGGGCCGCCCGGGGGCGCCTCGCGTGCGCCTCGTGCGCTGGCTGGCGTTTCCGGGGTGTTCGCCCGGTCGCCGCCCGAGTGCGCCCAGAGGGCGGCTCCCGCCTCCTCCGCCTCCCTCCTCCTCCTCCTCCGCCTCCTCCTCCTCCTCCTCCGCCTCCCTCCTCCTCCTCCTCCTCCTCCTCCTCCTCCTCCTCCTCCTCCTCTTCCTCCCCCTCCGCCTCCTCCGCCTCCTCCTCCTCCCTCCTCCTCCCCCTCCTCCTCTTCCTCCCGCTCCTCCTCCTCCTCCTCGTCCTCCGCCGCCTCCTCGTTCTGTGCGTTTTCTTGCCGCCACCCGAGCGCCGCCCGTGGGCCGCCCGTGGGCGCTTCGCGTGCGCCTCGTGCGCCGGCTGGCGTTTCAGGGGTGTTCTCCCGCTCGCCTCCGCCTCCTCCTCCTCCGCCTCCTCCTCCTCCTCCTCCACCCTCCTCCCTCCTCCTCCTCCTCCTCCTCCTCCGCCTCCTCCTCCTCCTCCTCGTCCTTTTCCTCCCTCCTCCTTCTCCTCCTCCTCCTCCTCCGCCTCCTCCTCCTCCTGCTTTGACCACGCAGCCAGGAACATCGGCGCGAGCGGCCAGTGAGCCGAGCTGCTCCACCTCAGGCCGTCAGGGCCCTGAGGAGGGGTTTCTTGTCGTGATGATGAAGTGGTAGGCTCCCGTGGGAGCCTAGGAACCGTTAGCCTCACGGTTTTGACGTGAGGTTCATGGGCAGCGTGAAACAAAACAACACCCTGCACCGCGCAGGTTGCACCATTTAGCTTGCACTACACAGCTTGCACCACATAGCCTGCACCACATCGCTTCCACTGCGTCGCTTTTTCCTCATATTTACCACCTCGTAGCTTGCACATGCAGGGTGCACAAACTCACATGGTTGGGCCAACGCTGGCAATGACACGTGTATCTCCCTCTGTCTCTCTCGATATCTATCTCTGTATAGATGTCGGTGTCCGTGTCTTTTGCCAATTCCATGTCTATCAGCATCTCCATGTGTAGCCGGTGTGTGTACCCACATCTTCCTTGCGCCCTATATGTGCGGCTGTCGTGCGTAGCGCCACGCCGCGGCGGATAAGAGTGAGGGCGCGGGCGCGGGGTGGGTCGCTGGTGGGTTGCAGACGGGTCGCGGGTGGATCGCGAGGTGGATCGCGTGGTAGGTCGCGGGCGGGTCGCGGGCGAAGAGCGGCACCCACGCAACGACGCAAGCAGAGCTCGCAGGACGGCCACGCACCTGGGGGCATGCAATGACCAGTCGGCCCCCCTCGCTCGTGGCTTGTCTATGCGTGGCGAAATCCACGTCTGTCTCTCCATCGCCATCTGCAGCTCCCTCTCAATCCTGGGGGGGCGCGACCGAAGAGAACGAGCTTCCGCAGGACGAGAAGAAGTCGTGTGACGCGCCGGGCGTCTGGCAGTACTATCCACGGCGCTTCGCGGCCGCACGGCCAGGCACGAATGTATAGAGAGGGAGGATGATGAGGGGGAGCAGGGATGAGAAGGATCGGGGTGAACGAGAGGTTTGAATGGGGAAGGGGTGGGTCACGAACTCTGCTGCCGCAGCTGGTTTCGGGCCCGCCGGGAGGCGCTGGAAAATAGTTGAGTGCATGCAGCTTTCGTCCGCCTTGAAAGGAGGCAGGGAGGAGAGAGAGGAGTAACGAGTGAAAGGAAGGTTAGGAGGGGGGAAAGGATGGAAGAGAAGGAGCATGTGGAGGGTGATCGGGAGGGCGCGGTGAATGAGAAGGAAGAGGAGGAGGAGGAGGAGGAGGAGGAGGAGGAGGAGGAGGAGGAGGAGGAGGAGGAGGAGGACGCGGAGGACGAGAAACGTGAGGTTGAGGAGGAGAAGGAGGAGGAGGAGGAGGAGGAGGAGGGAGAAGGGAGGAGAAGGAGGAGGAGGAGGAGGAGGAGGAGGAGGAGGAGGAGGAGGAGAGTGGAGGAGGAGTAGTAGTAGGAAAAAAGGGAAATATGACGATGGGGAGAACGAAGATGGGGAGCAGGATGATTGGGGATGATGATGATGCTGCTGCTGCTGATGATGATGATGATGATGATGATGATGATGATGATGATGATGATGATGATGGTGATGGTGATGGTGATGGTGATGGTGATGATTACGGTGATGCTGATGCTGATGATGATGCTGACGATGATGCTGACGATGCTGATGATGATGATGATGCTGACGCTGATGATGATGATGATGATGATGATGATGATGATGATGATGATGATGATGATGATGATGATGATGATGATGATGATGATGCTGATGCTGATGCTGATGCTGATGGTGAAGGTGATGGTGATGGTGATGGTGATGGTGATGGTGATGGTGATGGTGATGATGGTGGTGATGACTTTGCTTGTGCTGGGTGTAGGGGCGTGGCCTGGTGCTCTTCAGTGACTGCTGCTGTATCGAGAAAGCCCCCTGGAGCACGAGGCGCCTCTGCTCAAAGAGGAGGAAACATTTGCACACGGGGGACCTAATCCCCTTCCTGGGCGTGCTGACGCGACTAGTGTCTCGATAGGAAGGCCCCACTGGTATACGACATGTTGATGCCCGATGCTCGGCAGTCTTTGCGTTCTCCGATGGACGCACGCTGGGCGCTGACGTCCATAACTCCATAAGGGCTGGGCTAGAGCTGGGCGCGGCGCTGCTGGGCTGGAGGCTAGAGTACGCGCACGGGTATCGCCTCGAGAATGTCAGCGACTTGCAGTGCGACGCGGTCGTGCGAATCTGCAGCGGATGCCCCCTCCGCGCTGAATTCGGGCAAGTCTCCTGCAAGGATCACGACGGCACGGCACGCTTCGGAAACTCAGTGCAGGTGGTGGCAAGCCTCAGGGCGGGTGAGGCAGTCCGCCCCGCCAGATGGGCACACCGAGCCGACGCGGACCCTGCTCGCGGTCCTCTTGCCGTGCGAGCGCTTCTGCTGTGCGACCCTTTCACTGCTGGCCATAAATCGGAAACTGGAACGTATACACTACCAGTGGCGGGCTGTTTTTCAATCCCAGGACTTTTTGAGGGTCGGGGACGACGTCGGGGTGGTGTGGTGTTTACTTTTTTCCCCGTGTTCCCGTGGAAACAACAAAACATGTATACACCAGGATGCCGTATACACCATAATCCGTTTTCTTGTGCGGATCCCAGTGCGGGACCGGAAAACAAACATCGGTGTATAAAGTTCGGTTCCTCAATAAACAGGAAGGTGAGGAGAGGTTTGCAGAAGGAAAGCGGAGGGCGCGGGAACTGCTTTCCGCACAGCCTGCGCTTGGTCAGTGGACCGGGCTGGTTGGGAGTCCACCTTTTTTCGTCTGGCCGGCCTGCCACCTCCACCGTCGCGGGAAGTCGACCATGTAGGCTTTCCCCTTCTCGGGGCTGGCTGAGGACGAGCCCAGCTGCTGCCCTCTCTTTCGGGGAAGGCCACCGCGATCTGCTGAAGATCGAAGAGCAGCGTCTGCGCCGACGGAGGCTCGAGAGAGCCTGGGCCTTGACCATCATCAGGACCGCCTTCGGAACGGCCTGGAAAGGACGCGATCTGGGAGAGCCTCCGTGCCTGGATCGTCGACGCGATGAGCGGGGCTTGCGCCTTCTGCCTGACCCCCTCGTCGGTGGCAGCGTCGGGGGCCCCGCAGCTAACGCCGCCTGAGACCTTCTGGAGGGCGCGATGATACTGCCAATCATGACGGCCAGGGCTTCAGGGTCATCTCCACGCCAGGCAGCAACGCCTTAGTGTTTTCTAGAAGACCAAGCTTGTAGCAAAAACCGATCGCGTTGAGCAACGTAGGGTGCTGCATCCGAAGACATGCAACGTCAACGGGGCGTGAGTCAGCTGAGCCTTGGACGTCTGCTTGGAATCCAACATGTGTCGACCGGACGCCTGAAGCGTGGTGCCAAGACACGCAGAATGGTGAACGGTTTCGAGCTCAAGACCTCTGGGTGATCCACAGACCGCGCGACCCATGGAGTGGAACTCGTTTTCCAGGTCGTGCTGGAGTCCTCGCCGCAAATCTGCGGCATGATCGCACTTTTACCATGGCCCACATTGATATTTAAGACTACCTCGCTGAGCTTTTCAGAGGTGATGGCCACTTCAGGGCCCACCTGGGTAAGCGTAGATTGAGGGGAATCGAACAGGAACTCGAGTGCCTCGTCGTCCGCGCATTTCTGATCGTTGGGGGCCTGCTGCAAAGAGACGTGATCGGGGTTGCCGTCGAACTCGGTTGCCCAGAGCACATCTTCATGCTCAGCTTGATCGTGTTCTCCGGGAAGCAGTATTTCACGCACAAAACGGCCAGCTCGTTGGCAACATTGAAGCACCGCGCGCGAGTTGGCAGCCCTGGCGTGCGCCACGATTCGCGGCGACCGTAGCAATGCCCGCTGCTTGGAGGCGCGAGGAGCTGTCCTGCAGATGGCGCTGGACCTTGTCGGCCACGTCACGCGGGCCACGTTAGCTCACGCAAGTGATCCGCTATGTGGCAGGTGCAGCTGTCGATGACCATCTCCGTCGAGGCACTCCCAGATGACGCTGCCTAGAGCAGTGGCCAGGTCGAAGAGCGCAGAACTAGCGCACGTGGATCACAGTTTCCACGAAGGTTTGCAATCTGACGGTCAGGAGGGGCGTGCCCCGACCAGGGATTGCGCCCCACTGCGCATCAAATACTGCCGCCGGCAGGGCTTGGTCGACTTTTTTGGGGATCTAGATGATGCACAGCGTGGGCAGGCGATCGGATGCCAAGATGCCGCGACTCTGCGAGGGCAGGAAGACATCGTCCTTGCGCTTCCAGATGTCGAATATCTGGCCCCCTCTCCTGCTGACTGGGAGCTGGCACAGGGAGGCGGAGAGGTCAAACGGTGGCAGGACCGTGCCGACTGAGGCCTCGCCGCCAGTGCGCCCTACCGAGACGTTGATGGCGTCGGGTCCCAGACCCTTCTTCGCGTTGGGCCTCCGCGTTTCCGCCTTGACACGGACGCGTCCCATTGGTGTCACCCAGGGCATCACTGGAACCTTCGGTGGATTCCCGAGCATCTAGTTTTTCGAAATGGCTCCCGCAAAAGTTGCGCCGGGTGCCTGCGCCATCGGTCCAGGATGTTCAGATGGCCAAGAAGGACTGTACCACGTAGATGTCGCAGGGCACGGTGCACGCGCTGCCCCCGAGGTGCGCGTATCTCACGCGTGACCTCGCAGAGGGTGTTGCTGTTGTGCTGGTCCCATGCGTCTGCGCCCTCGTGGCGAGGTCACCGCGCTGCGCTGCGATGGCGCGCCTGTCGTTGGACGCCAGCGGCGCCGGAATGCAGGAACTGCTGAATGCGCTTGCGCTGGGCGCGGAGGCCTCGCTGTGCTTGGCAAGGGAAGTCCGCCAGACCTGCAAGAAATAGCAGTAGCCCGGGCTGTCTGCTGATCGAATGTGGTGTTTTCGAGACATTGCGAGAGCATCTGGCAGGTGGCCAGGGCTTTTGAAGGTTTTCTCTGGACTTTCGTGGCCTCGCAGAGGAAGTGCGTCTCCAGCAGCCTCTGCGATACTCGGCGTGATGTGCATCGGGGCTCGCTGGGAGTAGCTCCTGAAAGGGCAGGGGCTGCGTCTCGCGCGTCAGCTGCAACTTGCCGCGCCGATTAGGATCGCGAAGTTTTAGACGGCCCAGGCGACGCCTGGGATGGTCACCGGGAGATCGCTTGTCTAGCAGAATGTTCGCCCAGGCCACGTGGTGGTCTCTGGTGGTGAAGACCTCGTGACCTTGCTGCCCCACCTCTGCGGCGACCCATGCGTGGTTGGAGCGTTTCGGAAAGAGGGAGCTGCCAAGCCGCATCGGTTTGGCGCAGTCGTGCTACTCTGCGCGATCGCACGTTGAAGGTATCCTTGATGTCCGCGGAGATGGAGGAGTTTGCAATGCAGCCGTTGACGGCGTCGTCGTCGCTGGCGTCAATGCATGCCAGGAGCCTGCTCGGATTCGGGTGGTCGACCTTGCCGAGCTGATGCTCGAGCCGAACGGCTTTCCTCTCCTAGCAGGGGGCCGCCGCCGTTGGATCGCGCGCACTGGCGGCAGAGCAGGCCACTCCCGGCCTGAAAGATTCCAGGCGCATGATCTCGGAGCTCCTGGGATGACATCCCGTGCCCGACGCGAGGTTTCGGAAAGACCTGTGAAGCCTGATCTGGGCGCCGCCCTCGCCGGCCACGTTCCCCAAGCATGTGTGTGCCGAGAAAAGTCGGAGGTCGATGCAACGGTTGCCCTGGGTGCGACTCTCATGGGCGCCCATGAGATCGGCGTCGCGTGCGATGAAGGAGGCATGTATGAAGAGTGCGAGGGCCGAGTGAGCCTGCCCCAGTCGATGCAGCTGCGCAGATTCGCGCGGATCCTGGGTTTGGATGGTGGCCGTGGCGATAATGAAGTTATTGACGTGCGTTTTACCAGCTCGCTGTCAACGATGATGCCGCCGCTTACGACTCAGCCAACCTCGAGGTCCTAGCCCTCGCGAAAGGTTGCTGTCGGAGGTGGGGGGCGAGATCGCAGCGAAACGGAGAGCCCCCCATCGGGAATTCGGTGTCGGTCGCGTGCTCGTGTCGCGCGCGCGGGCAGGGGCAAGCTGCGTGGGCTGGCGAGATGAATGAATCCTCTGGCTATGGCGCCGCCGGCCCAAATTTCCGCCGCCCGTCGGCATTTCCGCCAGCAGCTGGGGCTGTCCCGCCGTGGTGTCCCGATGGTGTCCCGTGGTGTCCCGTGGTGTGCCCCTCGGTGGCTTGGTGTCACGTGGCGCGGTGTCCCGTGGTGTCCCGTGGTGTCCCGTGAAGTCGATAATGAGATCGATAGTGAGATCGGTAGTGAGATACTGAGTTTGACCGTGGGATTGGTAGTGAGATCTATAGTGCGATCGATCGTGGGATCGATCGCAGGATCCATAGTAAGATCGATAATGCGATCGATCGTGATCTCGATAGTGAGATCGGTAGTAAGAGGGATCGTTCGATCGATATTGGGGTCATTCGTGAGATCGATCGTGGGAGACGCTGGCTACCCCCCCCCACCCCCAAGGACCTCCGTACTACCTGAAGTGCGATCGTATGGGTACTGCTGGTGCGGATGGGATTCATGGCTTTGGGGTTCGCTCTTCCCTGCGAGGGGCCGGCCTCGTCGATCGTCCCCTCGAAGAGAGGCAGCTCTGGGAGTAGTCGTCGTCGTCGTCGTCGTCGTCGTCGTCGTCGTCGTCGTCGTCGTCGTCGTCGTCGTCGTCGTCGTCGTCGTCGTCGTCGTCGTCATCCTCGTCGCTCGTCGTCTCTCGTCGTCGTCGTCGTCGTCGTCGTCGTACCTGAAGTACTTCAGAAGGGACTTCTGGTTCGTCTGCATGGCCCGCTTGCCCTGCAGCCGTCATGGAGGTTGCCAGAGTGCGTCCCCCCAGTGGGCGGGGGGCCACTTGTTTGAGTGGCGGTGCTCGGGGCCCTCCGCCCAGAGGATGTTGATTTTGATGATGATGAGGATGATGATGATGATGATGATGATGATGATGTTGATGATGATGATGATGCCGATGATGCCGATGATGAGGATGAGGATGAGGATGAGGATGATACTGATGATGATGATGGTGAGGATGATGATGATGATGATGATGATGATGATGACGATGCTGATGATGATGATGATGGTGATGATGAGGATGATGATGATGATGATGATGATGATGATGGTGGTGGTGGTGGATGATGATGATGATGATGACGATGACGATGATGATGATGATGATGATGATGATGATGATGATGATGATGATGATGATGATGATGATGATGATGATGATGATGATGATGATGATGACGACGCCAAGGATGGGGGAAGGACCGGAGGAGGGGGAGGATGAGGAGGAGGGCGAACTGGAGGAACAGGAGGGAAGGATGTCTACACGTGCTTTTGGATTCACAACGTGGTGTTGCGCGGAAGGGCGCCCTTCTTTTCATCGCCTGTCCTATTTTCTCGTCACCCCCTCCTCACTTCTTTGTCCCCCTTCCGGCACAGCGCGGGGGAGGTGTTCCGTTGTCCGCATGCTGCTCTTCTAAGTCATGCCTGAATAATGCATCAGGTAAGTTGGGATCACGGTGCACTTCGAATAGTCTCTAAGTCTGATGGCACCACAATGTGGACCCAGCGGATATGCACAATGAGGTGGATGGCAAGAAAGTTGGCTGGTACAACTATGAGGGGCAGGCCGCCGAGAACATGGAGAAGTACTGGAAACAGCTTCAGACCAATGCTGGACTTGAGGTGAGGATCGTGCACACGGACTATGTGGGATGCCTGTGGCTTGCCGTGCCTGTTACATTTTGCAAATGGCCGTTTCAGAGCATTCGTTGACGATCCGTCGTTCGAACTGGCGTCTTCGCGGAATCGTCAAACCAGGTCGCCCCCCTTCTTCGATTGGGCTCAGGAGTTACTGCACCTTCCTGTGTGCCACCCGTCGTCCTGCGACACCTTCCCACCCCTGACTCTCCAACTAGCGAGGACAGCGGGGAGCCCAGGACGGCGGGTCGAAGGGTTCTGGTGGCGCTGAGGAGGAGGTGGTGGTGGCGCCGGTGACGGAGGATGCTGAGGTGCAGGGGGAGACTAAGACCGAGGAGGAGATGTAGGAGGGAATAGGGGATTCGAAGCGGAAGACGAGGGAGAGGTGTTAAAATGTTGGAGGAGGTGTAGGGGTGTGAGGAGGAAGAGGGGACAGTGAGTATGAGGGAGAGGGAGGATGCGGTGAAAGAGGGACGATGAAGAGGGACGCGGAGGAAGAGGAGGGGAGGGGTATATGCCCGCATCTATCGATCCGCGCGACCGGAAAGCCGCGATCGTTCATGGTTGAAGCAGTCACTCTGTGTCAGAAACCAGCGCGCAAGGCGTCAAGGCACGAGCCCGCCGCGAGCCAGACCAACCATCAGGGGTGGTCGGCCCTCGGTGGTGCGGACCTGGGTGAGATGTTGGGAGGAGCGGGGCCGGGGCTGTTCCGCGAGGCTCAGGGCCTCCTCCAGATGCGTCCGCCGCTGCCGCCGGATGTTTGTGCAGAGGCACGAGGCGAGGCCTGCTGCGCCTTGTGTGGATCTCGCTGAGCCACGCCCAGGGCATCCCAGTCGGTGAATCCGCGCGGCAGGCTGCGGCAGCAGCAGCTCCAGGAAGGCCCAGGAGCACGGGCCACGGAGCCACTGCCAGGGACCGCTGGTCCACCCGCGGCGCACGGCCATCTCCTCGTACAGGCAGGAGCCACAGCGTCCCTTCCTCCCCTTCCCTCCTGCTTCGTTTCTCCTCCACCCGGGGCTGCACGATTGGGAGCGACGTCCAGTTTTAGTGGTTGTTCCGCGCGCCCACCCTCCCTGACCTTGTCCTCCCTTGTTTGCGCGTCGTCTCCATCGCCTTCTCCCCCTGCTCTTCCCGCCACCAGCATGCCCCATGCCCGTGCCTGCGACGACGAGGTCGACAGCTTCCTGCGCCCTTCTGCCTCGCTCGGGAAGGCCCCCCAGCCATCCTGGACGAGGGCCCGCCGCTTTTTTTTTGTGCGCTGTGGCTCAGTGGTGGTGACTGGACGTGGTGCGACCCGCGTCGAGCTCAGCCTGTCTTCAGTGCTCGTGCCATCAAGCGCGAAAGACGGGTCCCCCCAGTGGCATGACATGAGACGATCACACTTTGCCCTGGCCGGCGACGGCGGAGACTTCACCTCAAGAAGTGATCATGACCGGTCGCGTGACGCCTGCGAGGGATCTATCTGCAACACTGGTGGGCTTCAGGGAGGCGCCACGAAAGCACTCGCGAAATGAGGTCGTCGGGCACCCTGCCCAGCAGTTCCCAGTTGGTCGCCGACTTTCGGGCCCAGGTATGGCGGCGGAGGGTCTCACGTTCCTGAAGGACGTTCTTCTGCCCTAGGTCCGACTGTAGCCGGCGGCCGCCCGAGGGTTCTGATCTCAGCACGGGTTTGGCTTGCGTCATGTTAGCGTAGCAGTAAGCTTCCAGCTAGCCGGCCATGTCTGCGAGGCCACGGCCTCACCCGCTCTGCCCTTAAGGGGCCCGGGCGATTGCCCGCGCGAGCGTCCCATTCCATTCCATTCGGACCGCCTCGATGGGAGGGCTGGAGCGCGCGCCGCCAAGTCGGGCCCCGCGCCCGGCCAGAGCGCACGCCGCGCGCCTTCGATCCAGGCGTGGGCTCTGGCGGACCTTCTGTCGGGCGTGTCCCCCATACAGGGGGATTTTCCACGAAAAATAGAACAGACCCCCAAAACACCCCAAAAAGGTCAACACATATTCTAAAAATAGTCCCCAGACTACTTTCGGATTATTTTTTGATTATTTTGGGGTATGCTTCGAGTTTTCGTCGAACATCCCCCTGTAATTAGGGGGACAGGCCCGACTTAGAGCGAACCAGAAGACGAGCCTTGCTTTGCTCGGGCCGGGCGAAAGGGGGGGATTGGGAAAGGGGGGGTTACGAAATTTGCTGCATGCACTGGCTTCGAGCCTCACCCGAGGGGCCCATATCCTCGAACATACCGCCTCCCAGCCGCGGGGAAGCGCTTGGAAAATCACTACGTGAGCTGATTCTCAACCCCCCCTTTGGCTATCCCCCCCATTCGCCCGACCCGATTTGCCGAGGGCCTCGCCGGCGAGTGTGAGCACACCTGCGTGTCCGTAGCGCGCAGCGACCCGTGAAGGGCCGACGGAGGAGGGGCCTGCGCGGCAGGACGGCGAGGGCCTCGTCGGAGCCGGCTCCCGCTCCGCCCCCCCCCCCCTCCTCCTCCCCCTCCTCCTCCTCCTCCTCCTCCTCCTCCTCCTCCTCCTCCTCCTCCTCCTCCTCCTCCTCCTCCTCCTCCCTGCCGCCTCCCTGGCTCCCGCGAGAGCCTCCGCGGGCTTCAGATACGAGGTGAACTTCGCCGACATGGTGCAGAGGAACATCAAGCCGGCGGCCCAGAGGGGCGTCCGATGATGGCACAGGAGGGGAGAAACACATACAGGCACAATTCATCGTCCCTTCCCAGGAAAAGATGGGAACACATGGGAAGTGGGGGGGAGGACAAAAGCCTAGAAA